TTGAACCGCCAGCCTTCTGGTTAGCAGTCAAGTGCCTTAGGCACTATGCTACCAGAACTCCTAAGTTTTACTTAGACATAGTATATTTTATTTATGTGCACACTCACACACAGTAGATTTAGTTTCCTAATATTTAGGATTTTTCCATCGCTATGAGTCGGGCCGACTCGACGGCACATAACAACAACAACAACAACAACTCAAGATTGAGATTGACCTATAATTTCCCTTTCCTGCTCTGCTCTTGTCCTATTTTGATATAAAAGTTAGACTAACTAATGGGTTGAACAGCTTGCCCTCTATTTCTTTTTCTGGAACAGTTTATATAATGTAGAGGTTATGTGTTTGTTAGAGATTGGGTACAACTTAGGTATAAACCACCTAGACATGGTACTGTTTGTGGGTAGATTTTATTTTGTTTTGTTTTGTTTTTTAATCAAGCAGTCTGTATAATTAATTGGATATGAAGGACCTTGGGAGGAACCAAAGGTGATGATTATTCCACTTTTTCTCAAAAATGGAAAATAATTCTAGTAGCATTTTAGCACCAAAGAAGGAAAGACAAATTTTATCATGAATGTGAAGAATCAGTTCTTTAGAAACCAGATAGATAACTGGGAGGGAGGAGGAGCTAATCAGTTCTAAAGTTACCTTCAGTGATCTCAGTAGATGCCCCTGTAAAATACAGCATTGAAGGATTCATAGGAAAATGTAAAATCCTTGTTAAAGCTGGGTGTTTAGATCCTGAATTCATCATTAATACTTAGCTGCTAATGTGGAGCAATAGAGAGTCACTTTGGTTTAACCCATTTAGTTTCCTCATATCTGAAAAATAGGTCTAATGAACCAAAAGCACTCAAAAACTAGCTAATCCATCTCTTTGGAATTTTCTACTGAAAGAACTACTAGCAGTGGCATGCATGTGGTCTAGCCTCCTCATCCATATAAGTCTGTTCCTTATCCATATTATATCCAAAAGGGTGCAAGGCTACCATAGCTAATCAAAACAACCCAAACAGTAATGGCTAGTTTCTTTTATTGAAAGTTATGCCAGTGATGTTGAAGTAAATCCTGTTGATTGCCTTCTATTTTATTTTGATAAATGCAAATTCTCAGATATTCATGTATGTATGTTTTGGTGCAGCACCAATATACCTTTCACAAACTTCCAAAAATGAGCTTCCAAGCTATTTAAACTTCATGTTAAGCTGATAAAATTCTTGCTCTATGCTAAGAAGGTGTTAGATATGATATAGTGTCTTTAGCTAGAGAAACAACCTTCTAATCCTTAGAGCTATTATGCCTGCAAAAACAATAAATCTGCTTTCATCACTCATTAGTCAACCAAAGGGACACTTGCCTTTTAGAATATTCTACTTCCTAAGAATTTTATGAGAGCTCTGATAGGGTAGTGCCTAAGGCATTTGACTGCTAACCAGAAGGCTGGCGGTTCAAACCCACCAGCCACTCCTCGGAAGGGAGGTTGGGCAATCTATTTCCATAGTGATACCACCTCAGAAACCCAAGGAGGGGTCACTATGAGTTGGATCCAACTCGACGGCAGTGAGTTTTGAGTTAAGAACTTTATGCAAATCACCAGCTAGCTAGCTCTCAGGATAAGACAACTCCATGCTCTTCTTGGCCTCTTCCCAACATAGTGTACCAGTGCCTTTGGGTCAGTTCCAACTCAGGGTGACCCTATGTGTTACACAGTAGAACTGGGTTCCTTAGGTATTTTAAGGCTGTGACCTTTCACAAGGAGATCACCAGGTCTGTCTTCTAAGGCACCTCTGAATGGGTTCAAACTGCCAACCTTCCAGTTAGTAGTTCAACTCTTAACCAGTTGCACTGCTCAGGGACATCCAACATACTGTAGAAAAAAAAAAAAAACCATAAACGAACCCATTGCTGTCGATTCTGACTCATAGTGTCCCTATAAGACAGAGTAGACCTACCTCATGGGGTTTCCAAGGCTATGCCACATCTTTCTCCTGTGGAGTGGCTGGTAGGTCTGAACCACCAACCTTTCAGTTAGCAGCCAAGTGCTTAGCCACTGTGCCACCAGGGCTCCTCAGCATATGGGAAGAGATTTCAAATCAGTTGAGAAGGAACTATGAAGAGCTGTTGCTTTTTGTCCTCACAGAAAATTATGGTACAAGTCAGAGATCAAAAAGTTAGCTTAAATGTGTGGATTAAGTTTTTTCAGAGATACTTACCTGATACCACCTTTCTTCTTTAGAGCTCAAGTGGCAAATTAACGGACTTCCTAAGCTTCTACACACTCCCTTCAACAGTCATGCATCATCCTGTCCACAAGAGCCTCAAAGCTGCTTACTCCTTCTACAACATTCACACGGAGACACCCCTCTTAGACCTCATGAATGATGCACTCATTATAGCCAAGTTGGTAAGCAACTCATTGCTTTTTGTGCCATTTTCTCAAACTATGTGTGTCAAAATTTATAAAATATATCACTAATTTTTTCCCACACAAATGAAATTCATTTGAGATATTTTTTACTGTTGACCATAAGTCAAAGGAATAATTTTGATGAGTTTTTTTTTTTTTAAATTCTAGTGGCTATTTTTGTCCTGAAGTCCATTGCAACTTACAAAATACAGAAGATATTTTGTACAAATTAGAAACTTCCAATACAATATAAGGAAAATAAATGAGTGTTTGTGTTGTACTGTATAATTAGCCCCAATAAATTTTTTGTTTCAGTTAAAATCTCTGAATTTTAAAATTAAAGAAATTAAATTCAAAATGTACCATACTATATTGTGTTAGTTTTTTCTTTCTTTTGTGTAGAAATTAGGATAATTGCCAAATTCTTGCTACAAATAATCATTTTTCCATAAAAAAGAACTTGAAATCAGCAGTTTGATGTAATTATTAAGAGAAAATATTGTTCGTAAGACATTAGGAACAGCCCATCAAAAGTGTCTTCTTAGTATTTGAGAACAAAAGACATTTTTTTTTTATTTGTTGTAATTTTTATTGTGATTTCAATTCAAGTTTTACAGAGCAAATTCATTTTCCATACAGCAGTTCATACATATTTTGTTTCATGACATTGACTGCAATTCTCCACAGCCTAACAACTCTCTTCCCATTCCTCCCCATAGTTACCTCTTCCCTGTGTCCTTCCCTCCCATGTACTCACCCCCCCCCCCCAAGTTATCCCCTGGTGCAGACACTGCCCTTCTGTTCTTCTATGATTGATCTCTCTAAGTAGTGTATCTCCCTGATGTAAATGTTCACCCCATATGCATGTCTGTTGTTTGGCTGGAAGCCACAGGAGTGAGCTTAGTTCCAGACCTGACAGGTGGCTAGAGGCCATAGTCTCAGGGGTCTTACCAGGCTCTATCAGACCAGCAAACCTGGTCTTTCTTCATGATTTTGAGTTTTGTTCCATATTGTTCTCCAGTCTATCTAGGATCTCCTACGTAGATCCCCCTCCAAGTGATTGACAGTGGTATCTGAGCACCATCTAGTTCTTCTGGTCTCATGGTCATAAAGGCTGAGGATCACATGGTCTACCAGCAGTCTCTTGGACTAATTTTTTCCACGTGTCTTTGGTTTTCTTCATTCTTCTTTGCTCTGGACTAGGAGAGACTCATCATTGCATCTAGATCACTGTTTGCGAGCTTTTAAGACCCCAGTCTCTACTCACCAAAGTAGGATGTGGAACAGTGTTTTTGTGTAGTGTTTTATGCCAGTTGAGTTTGATGTCCCCTGTGACCATGGTCCTGAGCCCACAGGTCCAACTACTCACTCCCTCTGGGACCTGGCTGTGGCCAAGAAGCCACCACAACCTTGCCCGTTGTCAGCTCTACTATACACCTGGATGTTCTTAAAGCAGATAATGGAAGACATTTTAAAAAATGCTATTACTTATGGATCCAGAAATCAATATTACCCTCAGCTTGTTTGGTCCTTTTTTTCTTTTTCAACTACTTCCTTAAAAAGGCCAGTAGTAGATGACTTATTTTAGGCAGTAGATTCCCCTAGAACTGAAACTTTAGGTGACTCATCTATATCACATTCTGCATAGTAGTATTATCCAATATATGAAGAAATTTTATAACTAAAGTCTTTACAACTATGATTCCTTGGCTATACCTTCAGCTAAGTCGGGATTTAGAAAGTTCAGTAACTATAATCCCTGAATATGGAGCTACCTTCACAACTGTTCCCTTCTAAACAGGGAAAAAATATTTTTGAAATCTTTATATTTCACTGTGTGTCCGTATTAGCCAATCATACCAGAGTCTCTGATTCAGCATTTCTGGATTATTTTGTTCACTCCATCAAATTCACTACTAGTGTTTGTAAGAGTTTGAAACTGAATTCTTCAACTACACCATATGTTGTAGACATCAACCCCTATTAAAATTGCATAGTTGAGCTTTTAGTAGAGGAATTAATGTTATATGGAAATGCATAATATAGAAAGTACTGTAGTCCTCTGATAGTCATTTAAAATTATTTTTACATTGGCAGAAGGGATTTGATGTATTCAATGCACTAGATTTGATGGAAAATAAGACCTTCTTGGAAAAACTCAAGTTTGGTATAGGAGATGGCAATTTGCAGTATTACTTGTATAACTGGAGGTGTCCAGGAACAGATTCTGAAAAGGTAAGTGAAACTGACATAGTCTTTGTAAACATAGAGATGAATTTGCCTAGAGAATTCCATGCTTACCTTCCTTAGGATTTTTAAGACTTTTTTAAAAAAATTTTTATTGTGATTTGGGTGAAAGTTTACAGAGCAAATTCATTTTCCATACAGCAATTCATACATATTTTGTCACATGACATTGACTATAATTCCCCAGTTAAGACATTTTTTAAGTGGCTTTTTAAAAATACAGATCTGTTACACTACATTGTAATTTAACTTTTCTTGCTTACTTGTTCTTACTATCCCATTTTTTTCCCTTTCTTACAGGTTGGACTTGTATTACAGTAGATGAATATTTTTATTTCTAGAACTCTGGCATTATCATTTGTTAATATTCTATTTAATGATTCCTGGAACTGCCATTCCAAAGAAGAATAAAAGCACAACTTAAGTGAAATTGAAGTGGTTAATATCAGAAAAGATGAAAAAACATCCTTATGTGACCAATACTTCACATTTCTAGCTAGAACGTAAAACTTCATCCTTTTTGCACTGTTTACCTATTTGTGGGAGGGATGAAAGGGTACAAAGAGCACATTCCTCTAATTTTCAGTTTGATTTTGGTTGTCTCTTAATGAAGACAAAGTGGTTTTTCCACTCTCTAGCAAAGGGACTCTTTTTGTATGGACCTCAGAGAAGTTAGGGAATCATGTAAGAAATTTTTTGCTATTGTGTGAAGATAAACTGCTGCATTTCTATTTATTCAATGGTGGCATATTTGTCAGTGTAACAGAATGAAGGATCCATTCTGAAGATTTTTACTTGTATCACCTCATGTATCATTGGGAAAATTTATGGAATCAACACTTTTGTAATGCAGTGACAAGTGGTGAACAATTTAAGTGGGGAGCAATATGAAAATGTGCTGGTGACTAGTACATTTATTTCTCCGTAAGCAAAGTTGCCAAATCAGTAAACATACAAACTTGTACCTTGATCTTTGTAGATCAGTGAACTGGTTCAAAAGCAAAGTTTTGTGCAAACATTAAGTGTGCTCTTGGGGAGTATACATACCCATGACTAACTAGACTTTGCTGCTGCTGCTCAAACTCCAGTTTCTTCTCAGCAACATCAAGGCTATGTGAGGGGAAAAAAAAAATAAAATAAATAAAAGCTCTAAAGTCAAAAGAAATGCCTGGTGGAATTTATTAGTACTACCAGGACATTGATGGTTTGAATGTTTTTATTACTTAAGCAGAATTGCACATATTCCTTTAAGCTGACTTTAATTTATCATGAAAGTTGTCATTCTAATGGAAAATGTCTTATTTGTAAATAAGTATCCATAATTTTGTTACTGATGGTGTTTTTATCTATCTAGAATTTGAAAAAGTTTCACAGTGTACATATGTATGTATATATTGCCAATAGTCCTAGTGGGGGGAAAGAAGATGCTAAATGAGGCCACATTGCCTTGCCTTGACTCATACCATGAAAGCAGATACTTTTTCCTGCCTTTACTGTACCAGTGCCTAGGCTGTTCAGTCCAGAAAATGTTAATTTTATTTTAGACTACATATTAACATTTCCTTCATGTTGTAAGTAGTCACATGAAGTAAATCAATCCCGGGGGTCAGCAAACCATGGCCCATGGGCTAAATCTGGCCCACTGACTGTTTTTATATAGCCCATGAGCTAAGGAATGGTTTTTATGTTTTTGAATGGTTGGGTGGGGGTGAGGGAGGGTAATCAAAAGAATAACGTTTTTTGTGACATGAAAATTCTATGAAATTCAAATTTGTCCATGATGTTTTTTTTGGAACCCAGCCACTTTCTTTCATGTTATGTATTGCCTGTTGGTTTCACACTGCAAGTACAGAGTTGAATTGCTGCAACAGACTAGTCAATAAAGCCTAAAATCAATACTATCTGCCCCTTTACAGTTTTCATTAACCCGATTTACACTAGTCCTTGAGTTGGAAGCTACTTTCTCCACCTTGCCGTCATCCTGCTGACTAACCCAGCTTGTGGGATCCCTCATATCACCACTAGAGGGGACACTTGTGCCATAGAGTAGTGTATAATACTAGCACTGTTCACTTTCTTGAAGATCCACTGGAAGACTTCCTATTTAGGATGGCTCAAATCCAACTGCATTACCATTCTTAATAGAAGAAAAGTTTTAAGGAGCAAAACTGAACCAAGTCACTGAACATCTTTTGAGACACCAGCATTAAGTAAAGGTAACTTTATTTGGAGTCAAGCAAGGCATGTTAGAAACTGTCCCACTCATTTCTATAGCAAAATCTCATATGAAATAGGTTTTCAAATAATTGCAGAATTGCCTCTTTGTAATTTAAGAAATTACTAGTGAACATTTTAAAACAGACAACTGGTAAAACTGATTGTTTTATAAGGTAGGTACTAAAACATGAAATTTAAATGTAATATATTGTGTCTTATAGATTCAAAAAGATATTATCCCATATCCTATAACCAAAATACTCTATAAGTATTTTTTTTTTCCCCCTTCTTTTGGTACTAAGTAAAAAATGTAAATGAACAGAGGTACCCTAATCTATGAGTCAGCCAGAATTTAATCTGGTAATCTTGCCAATCCTATTATACCTTACCTCTAAATTACAGAAGGTAACTTATTTTCTGATGTGAAGGGCACCCTATAATTCCTGAGCCTGCCTCTGAGAATCCAGGCTCCTCTATGCCATATTTATTACCAAAATACTTTTTATATGTTAGAGTCCCAAGAAAATAAGTGAACCACATAAAGGGTGAATTCTAACTAGCTGAAATACCTTCTCTGACTTTTTCTATAGATTTTAAGCCTTTCTCCCATGCCTATGTCTACCCACAGAGAAGGTCAAACTGACAGGAAAAGATGTATTCTTTCTGAAGACAGCGTATTGTTTAGCATTTAATTTTCCTTAAAAACTGATGATGCATCGCCAATCCAGTTTCGCTGACCCTACTAACTAGAATCAGTTTGACTGTGGGATGTTTTTTAAGTTTGATTGATAGAAAGATGTTAAGTGCTGTAGAATACAGATGTTCTTGCTTAAAAACACTGTACCAACCTTTTAAAAAGATAAATTTATATAAGCATGGACATTAGTTTCAGTAATTTTGTTTTGATATTCATACTTAGAATATTTTCTGCATTTAAGTGTTTTTAAACCTCAGCATGAGCTGTGCTATATGCATTTGAAAGGAACATTACCAAACAGTACCCTAAAAATATATGTAAAAGTAACCCATTTTATTAGTTTCAAGGTTTCTTTACAAGTATCAGTTTACAAATTGTATAAAATGACAAGTTAATTAATACAGGTTACTTCGAAGCAGTTTTTTTACTTTTGGGTGGTTTCCTTATCTTACTCGGGTTTGGGATTAGTTTCTTTATTTTTAGGGGTTGTAACCCTATAGCAGAAGCCTGCTGACCTTCAGCCAGTTTCCTCTTCTGTTTAGAGAGGTCTTCATATGAAGTTTCCATAATCTCTTTGTCTTGCCTTTCCAAAGATTCACTCTCTGGCTTTTCCCTTGAGTCTTCAATTACATCATGAAGCCATGGTACATGTAAACTGGGTACTCTGGGAATTATAGCCTTTATTTCATCAGTAAAGTCAGTGGTATTCTTTCTGAACCCCAAGGCTAGGACACATTTTAAGCCAATAACAGGTGCAATCCTCTCACTAAGACGGGGAACCTGGCAAGCAGGGACAGTCCTGCTTAAACTTAACTGAATCAAGTGTGAGGTGATGATGGCAGGCTTGACTGACTTACACACTAAGACTAAAAGCAGGTCATTCCTTTCCAGGGCTCTGGTCACTTCATTAACTCCAATGGCAAGCTGTTTCCTGGCATGCACAGGAGTCCACCCTGACACCTGCTCGTTATCATCTGTTTTTTTCTCTTTCAGATCCTCATTAATATCAACATCTGTGTTACATTTTTCTCTGCTTTGTTTGTTGAGCAAAGGCTGTTTTTTCTTTTTCTTCTTATCTTCAATCTTCTGAAGTCCGATATATTTAAATCTGTCTTCAAGTGTCTGCAATATGAAGTGCATATCTTCTCTCTCCAGAGTACTCCAGCAGATAGTATATGGGTTATTCAGTGAGGTCTTTATGACTAAAGGTCTGGTCTTCCGAACAGATCCCCTCCCTGGTGCTTGAGGAGCTGCAGCCATTTTGGAAATCCTTCAGAGAGAAGCAAAATGACAAAGAAAAATTAATGTTAATTAGAAATGCATGTCTTAAGAATATTTGGCTGTCCCTCTTTGATCCCTGTTCAGCTACAGCAAGCTAATTACATACGCTCAATTAGATGACCATACGCTTCTCTTTTAAGATTAAGTAACTTTCCTTTTCCCCCATTGTTGTTTTGTTTTTCATTCATATATAGACAGTATATAAATGTTTCACATTATTGGTGTCAGGGAAATTCTATTTGTTCATTTATTAAAAATGTTCCATGTTTCTCCTTGTTCATAAGTATCCTTTTAATGGCTATATGATATTAATCTTACAGATCTATTACCATTTCTTAAATTGCTCTCCAGTTGGACTTTCACTTATTCATTCAACAAACAATCACTGAGTGTCTGTGATGGGTAGGCAGCACTGCAGACACTGGGGTCAGCAGTGATCTTAGTCACAGTCTGCCTGTAAAGAGCTCACAATCTAAGGGCCACAGAGACCTTTATTGTTAGTTGCCATCAAGTTGATATCAACTCATAGTGACTCCATGTGACTGAGTAGAACTGCCCTATAGGGTTTTCTAGGCTGTAATCTTTACCAGAGCATATTGCCTTTTCTTTTTCCTGCTGGGTGAGTTTGAACCACCATCCTTTTGGTTTGCAGCTCAGCACTTAACCATTTGCACCACTAGGGCTTTTAGAGATCTTTGCCCTTCATAACTAACCAGGTGTGACTGTTTTTAAAAACACTGGAACAGAAATATATGACATGATTTTAAAATTTAAATACTCTCATTCTGTGTCCCTATGTCCCTCCCTCCCTGGACACTGCCATCTCCGCAAATGCACTTGCCATTTCTTGTATATCCTAAAACACTGAGATGCACGAAGGCAGATATTCCTCCCTCCTATGGTTATTCCAAGCTGATTGCTCTGTCAGGCAATTTGACTAAAACGAGGGCAAGTTCATAATTTTAAAGATATTAATCCATTAAGCAAACATAATATGAATACCAATAGGGATCCTTATGGAAGAAAATGATATTAACCATTGATCTAGAGAGGTGTCTGTTTTTCTGTCCAGAGTCAACTGATAGACCATTCTCTTCCCTCAGGTTTCTTCTTCTCCTTCCAGGGACTTGGCTGAGAGCCACAGGGACCCACTTAGGAGAATTAAAGGAAGTTAAACAAGCTGACTAGGCAAGTTTAGAATTTGGGAACACTCCTTATTTTCTGGGAACCAGATGACTCATGGTCCTTTGTTCCAGGTCGTTTTCCCACCTAGGCTTGCCCTCTGAAGTGTCCCATACAGGAGTAAGGATTAAGTGCTCTCCAATTACACTTCGACTTACCAGGCTGGATACTGATGTATAGAAGAGTAAGTGTCTTTGTGGAGTGAGTCAGAATTTATTAAGCACTTTCCCCATGTGTATCTGATTTTCACAAAATTCTTATAGAAGAGGAAACAGACTCAGGTTAAATATCTTGCCCAAAGTCACAACTAGTTTTCCAAATGCTAATTTTATGTTCTTTCAACCTTCAACCGTAGCCGTACCTGAAAAATCACTTGTAGCTTTTAAAAACATACAGATGGCTGGTCCTACCCCAGATTTACTGAACTGGCATCTCTGGGGATTGGGCCAGAATACCTGTACTTGTAAAAAGCTTCCCAGGTGATCGTGATAACCAATAATTAGGAGCTCCTGGTGCTGGAGAGCCTTTTTTCTACATGACAGCCCTGAGAGGTGGCCAGCCAACTTCTACTGGTCTTCCATGTCCCTCCTAGTCACCTTCTACCAGCAAATCAAAATTCAGCTCCTGGGGGTGAGAAATGAAACCTCATTCGTGTATTACCCACTGAGTTTGATTCCTGGCCAGTGTACCTCAAGTGCAGCCAGTACCTGTCAGTGGGGCCTACGTGTTGCTATGATGCTGAACAGGTTTCAGTGGAGTTTCCAAACTAAGATGGACTAGGAAGAAAGGCCCAATAATCTGCTTCTGAAAATCAGCCAGTGAAAACGTTATGGATCTGATCCCATTGTGCAAGGGGTCACAATCAGTGAGGAGTCAACTTCACAGCAACTAACAGCAGGTGCTCAGTACCTCTGCTGCCCTCACCCCAGCCTCATGGTGCAGTCCTCCCCAACCCTCTGTCTCTACTCCCCACTCACCCCAAAACTCAGAGTATCAGGAAGAAAAGCAGTTCATCCAAAGCTAATAAATTGATTGGCAGAGGCTGGCAACAGATGGACGATGGTCAAGAACAAAGAAAGGAGCAATATACGGGTGATAGCACAGAACTCTTGCCAAAGTGCAGGTCCGTTAATGAGCATCAACATTCAAACAGCATGGGGTCAGAACTTTTACAATCATGTGCTCCTACCTTCAAAATCTAGTGTGGAGACAAAGAGAAACAAATTGTCAGAATAAGCAGAATCTTACACAGTATAATACAAGAACAAAGGTACAGGTAGTCCCTGACTTAGTCCATTCTGACAACTCTGGTAAGTCAGTTCTCACGTAAGTCAAATACATATTTTTGTTTTCTTTCGATTTTTACTGCCTTTTATTATTAGTATCCTTATAAATCCAATCTTTGTTTTTAGGCATTGGAAAATATAAACTACAGATAGGATAACATTAACAAAACACACTGCAAAAGTGCATGTAGTATTTATTACTAACAATAAGCCAAAATGATAAACCCACTGCCATTGAGTCAATTCCACTTCATAGTGACTGGTTGGGTTTCCAAAGCAGTAAATCTTTATGGATGTAAACTACGTCATCCTTCCGCAGAGCGGCTGGTGGGTTTCAACCACCAACCTTTTGGTTAGCAGTCAAATGCCTTAGGCACTGCGCCACCAGAGCTGCGTACTAAAAACAACTCAAAACTTACTGCCCTTGAATCCCATCTGACTCACAGCGACCCCTCCTTGGGTTTCTGAGATGGTATCACTATGGAAGTAGATTGCCCAATCTTCTTTCTGAGGAGTGGCTGGTGGGTTTGAACCTCCAGCCCTCTGGTTAGCAGTCAAGTGCTTAGGCACTAGGCTGTACAGGGGGGGAAATAAAGGATGGTCATTAAATGCAACTCATGTAACTATAATACCTTGTAAGTTGGGAACTACCCATACTGATAAAGGGAAGTAACAGCTTTGGAAAAAGGGAGAAAAATGGGAAGGTTTCCTTCAGGTGCCTTTTGAGCTATGTCTTGGATGCCTATACTACTTACAGGATCAACTACAAACTCCTTAAGGTGACATTTAGGGCCCTCCATACTCTGGCCCTATCTCCTCATCAGCTTCTTTCTCCTTATGCCCCCCCACCATGTATCTTACACCCCACCACTGAACCACATACTATTTAATGAGGTCACCAGTTTCTCACATCCATAGGTTTATCCATATTATCCCCTCTGCCTGGAATATCATTCCCATCCCCTCAGCCCAATGACCACTTTCTTTCTTAAATATCTGTAGCTTATCCACAATGCACTACGCCATAAAGATTAAGTATTAAGGTAAATACAGTCTCTGGCCTCAGTGAGCTTAAGAGTGTATACGGTGGCAAGTCAAACAGGCAATTATAGATCAGAATGCAAAGGGAACATGTAAGACAAGCCAGACTGACCTGACAGTCCCTAGGTGGCACAAACAGTTAAGCGTTTGACTACTAGCCAAAAGACTGGCCGTTCAAACCCACCCAGAGGCGCTCAGAAGGGAGGCCTGGTGATATGCTTCTGAAAAGTCACAGCCTTGAGTATCTCATGGAGCACAGTGGGGATGCCACGACACCAACTAACAATTTACTTGAGGGGATCAGAAAAGGCCAAGTGACCTTTTTGCCTATATCTGAAGAATGCCCTCGAAAGGGAGCAGCATTAAAAGAAATGAAATGTCATTGCTGCAGAGGTGGTGGAAAAAGTGGTGAGTGTTAGGAAAGGCAGGTAAGAGCAGATGGTGAAGACCCATGCAAGCCTTGCAGTAGGAGGCGACTGGAACATTTAAAGCAGAGGAGTAGCTTGACTAGAATGGTGTTCTAGAAAGATTTTTGTGATTCAGGGCAAAGGACGGCCTGGAAAGGTAAAAAACCTAGACGCAGCAAAGAAACCGCTGTAGTCAGCTAAGCAATGATGCTGGCCTGCCTGCATTACAGCTGCAGCAGAGGAGATGGTGAGAAATGCATGCTAGTTGAAATGAGGTAAAATCTACTTGAGTTAGTGATCAACTACGGAAGGGCGTAAGGACGACTCCTGGTTTCTGGCTCTGATAAATGAAGGGATGACGGCACCAACAGTCTGCTAACTAGGAAGCTGGCGGTTCAAACCCACCAGCCAGTCGCTCGGAAGGAAGATTGGGCAATCTACTTCCATAGAGATACTCCCTCAGAAACGCAAGGAGAGGTCATCACTATGAGTCAGAGTCCACTTAACGGCAGTGAGTTTGGTTTGGTTTTCGGTACTGTACGCCACCACCGTACCTGGTACCTTCTATTTTATTCCTCCTCGCATAACACCAATTCCATAATGACCTGGTCTTTGGAACTTAACCATGTAGGTGAGGAGTGGGTGTATTTCTTGTGGTGGTATACCGTGGAGTTGATTCCGACTCATAGCGACCCCTACAGGACCAGGTAGAATTGCTCCATGGGGTTTCCAAGGCTGTAATCTTTAGCAAAGCTGACTGTCATATCTTTCTCCCGCGAAGCAAAGTGGCTGGTGAGTTCCAACTGCCGACCTACGCCACCAGGGTTCCTCACTTGATAATTAAACTTAGGAATTGTAATTGTGTTGTTGTCTGCCTCCACTTCCAGACTGTGTAGTACTGAAAAGCCAGGACGGCCGTTTTATCTCTGCATTCCTAGTGTACAACAGATGTTCCAACAAAGGTTTGGGAGGAGATATTCCAGGCCGAATGAGATGCATACGCTATGGCACCAAGGCGGTGGAAGACGCTTCCGCCGGGCGATGGCAGCCAAACTGGGAAGGC